CTCTGTGTTGGAGGCAGAGAGGGGGCCAGAGCCGCCCGACAGTTATCAGCTGCCTTCAGAGTCAGACATCAGTGAGGCAGAGGAACAGCTGGGGCCTGTTGCCAGTGTGTGCATGCACAGAGTTGCCAGACAAAGGGAACAAGGGTTGACTTGGGAGTAAGGCCACAGGTGGACGGTGAATGGCCCCTCCCAGAGGAAATAAAAGAGCAGCGAAAGGGGAGTGGATTTTGCAGGAGACAATTAGTTTGCTTAATTGGTTCGTTGGCTCTCAGAGACTCCTTGCCAAGTTTTGCAGATCTCGGCCTGGCAGCTCTCCAAGCCAGAGAAGGTCTGTGACTATAAATCCTCCCTTGAAAGACTTTGCTGGATGTGAATGAGCAGAATTCACAGTCAGTTAATAAAAGGGTTTTTTGTTGGGACCAGGAGTTGGCTTCCTGCTCTTGTTCTAGGTCAGAACAGAAAACCTCGATGGAATGGTTCTACTGGTTAGTCTTTGTGGTGATTACACTGCCTGTCTTGCTGAGAAAGGCCCATGTTCCCTAACCCCCCTCTTGTTTGTCCCTTGCCAAGGACGAGACTTCTCCCACGACGAAACCCTGGACGTGCCCACCCAGGTGGAGCTCCTCATTAAGCAGGCCACTTCCCACGAGAACCTTTGCCAGTGCTACATTGGATGGTGAGTGTGCAGGGGGAAACTTTTCAGCCCAGCCGGGGAAAGGGCCTGTGGCTGGCCCACGGAAGAGAATCAAATTGGCAACTGTTATGGGTAGTATAACATCTCAGGCTCAAGCAGGGGGTTGGACTAGAAGACCTCCAAGGTCCCTTCCAACTCCGTTACTCTGTTTGCAAGTAGTCCTCGGCTTACGATCACAACGGAGCCAAAAATTTCTGTGGTTAAAGCGAGACATTCATTCAGTGAGCTTTGAACCCATTTTACGGCCTTTCTTGCCTGTGTTGTTAAAGTGAATCACTACAGTGGATAAGTTGGTAGCCCCGGTTGTTAAGTGAAACCGGCTTCCCCCTTGACTTTTGCTCGTCAGTAGGTCGAAAAAGGGATTGCCGCCTCTCATTTGAGAGGAAGCTTCTAGTCAGTCGGCCTGGCTGCGGAAGGCTTGATCCTGAACACGAGTCCCTGTTCAAGCCATCTCTCTCTCTCTCATTGTCACAACGAATCACATGCCTCATACTTTACTTCTTTTCCACTGTTGAAGATCCAAAAGCACCACTCTTGGAATTAAAAAAAGTTCTTTTCCTCCTCTTGTTTAGCCTTCTAAGCCTTCCTTCCCTCCCTCCCTCCTTCCTTCCCTTTCTCTCTCTCTTTTTCCTTCCTTCCTTCCTTCCTTCAGGGCTGCATCTCTCCTGTCCAAGCTTCATGAGCTGGCAGTGGGATGATTGATCCTTTCCTTTCCCTTCCCTCACCTACCTTCCTTCTTCCCTCCCTCACCTTCCTTTTCTCCATTTATCTTTCCCTTCCTTTCCCTCACCATCCTTCCTTCTTCCCTCCCTCNGCACTGTAGATTTGTGGAACCTCTTCTATAGAAGAGGTTAGGACTGACAGGAACCCACCCCTGGTGTGGGGGGAAGGGAAACTGGAATGACCCCACTTTCTTTCTTTGCAGCAAACACCAAAGGTAATAAGCGATCTCGGACCCGGACAGATTCGTACTCTGCTGGCCAGTCAGTCGGTGAGCAGGGACCAAGACGTCCTCTGTTTTTCTCTATGTTGTGTTGAATGGGCACAATATTTGAGTTCCCTCTCCTTTCTCTAATTTGGCTTAAGCCGCGGCAAGATGGAAGCACCAACGAACGAGCCAACATTATTTCTTTGCAAAGTTCTTCTTTTGACCCCTTGACCTTTTCCCCTCTGTTGAAGGGGAAGGGAGGGCAGCCCTCGGAGTCCCATGGAGGCTTTGGGGTTAGACCACATCACATAATCCCCCCTAAATGCCCTAAATTCCCCCTGTCTTTTACCATCTTGGAACACAGAGTCTAATACCTAAATTCTGTCTCTCTCTCTCTCTCCCAAGCAGCCTATACCTCTTTGCCTGCTTGAATCCATCTCAATGTAACACAAGGAAACTCAGGAGCAGAATATTTTGTCTTTATCTAACCGCTTTCCTCCTTTTTAAAGAAATGTTGGACAGCGTGGAACTGGGTGAAACAGCTCACAAGAAAGCTGGAACAACAGTGCCTGAATCTATCCATTCCTTCAGTAAGTTAGAGGGCCTGTTTTTTTCTTGTTTGGGCTCCATTTTTAAAAAAATAGCTGCACATCTCTAAAATTGTTCTGCTTCAAAATGTACAACATAAAACAACTTATTAATAAAAAGATGAGTGTTCACATTCGTGAGGGGTTCGATTACCCCTTTATAAAGTTGTTCTGCATTAAGGGCCACCACAACATTTCATGGTGGCAGGTTCCACATTCCATCTTTCATATAAAAGTATCTTATTCTGTCCTCAATTTACTTTTGCAGTTTCTTTGAGTAAACTAATGTTATAAGAAGAATAAAACTAAGATCATGGCATCCGGCCCTCTCCATTCCTGGCAAATAGATGGGGAAGAAATGGAGGTAGTGACAGAGTTTATTTTCCTGGGCTCCAAGACTACTGCAGATGGGGACTGCAGCCAAGAAATTAAGACACTTGCTCCTGGGGTGGAAAGCTATGGCAAATCTAGACAGCATGTTAAAAAGCAGAGACATCACCCTGCCAACAAAAGGGCGCATAGTCAAGGCTATGGTTTCCCCAGTTGCAATGGATGGCTGTGAAACATTGGACAATAAGGAAGGCTGAGGACCAAAGAATGGAGGCCTTTGAACTCTGGTGCTGGAGAAGACTCCTGCGAGTCCCTTGGATTGCAAGGTGATCAAACCGGTCAGTCCTAGAGGAGGTCAACCCTGACTGCTCTTTAGAAGGTCAGATCCTGAAGAGGAAACTCAAATCCTTTGGCCACCTAATGAGAAGGAAGAAGGACTCCCTGGAGAAGAGCCTCATACTGGAACGATGGAAGGCAAAAGAAGAAGGGGATGGCAGAGAATGAAGTCACTGGATGAAGTCAATGAAGTAGTCAGCATGAGCTTAAATGGATTCCGGGGGATGATAGACAGGAAGGCCTAGAGGAATATTGTCCATGGGGTCGCAATGGGTCGGACATGACTTTACAACTAACATGGAGGAGGAAGAGAAGAAACCATGTTGTTTGGCTTACAATTGAAAAGCCCCCAGTCTTGCCTTTCAAAGAAAATTCTCTGGTTCCTCTTTGCTTTGTTAATATACAAGGTTGGAGTGTTCAAAACTGGACCAATGAGCCTGTTATGGATAGGATCATTTCCCCCTTTAATCAGAATCCAGAAAACTGACTTTTAAGGATTCTACCCAAGATGCAAATAAATGGATAGCTCAGAATCTTCAAATTTAACTATGGCTCACCTTCCCCCCCCCTCTTTTCCCCCCCTATCTTTTAGTTGGGGATGGCCTTGTGAAACCAGAAGCCCTAAATAAGAAAGCCATTCAGATTATCAACAGAGTCCGGGATAAACTCACAGGTGAGTAACTAACCTGTGCATCATTTGTACAGGACTCCTGTCACAAACAATTTGCAAGTTTTAACTATCGTCCAGGAGGATGATAGTGAAAAACGTGGGGGGGGAGGAGAGAAGCCAGAAATAGGTGCACTTCGATGATGATGTAAAGATCAGAAGAGAAAATGAGGGAGTAAGTCAAGACTTGATGGCAAAGGTTGAATTCTAAGTGCTCACATCCATCAAGTGTGAAAACTCCTTATCCAGAAGAGGAAGAAAACTGTTACGGGCCCGCCAGTGGAGCTGGCAGCAGAGTCGGAGGTTGGGGAGGAACATGGGCCAGTCCTGGAATCTGGGGAAGGCTCTGTGTCAGAGGCAGAGAGGGGGCCAGAGCTGTCTGACAGTTATCAGCTGCCTTCAGTCAGACATCAGTGAGGCAGACAAACAGCTGGAGCCTGTTTCCAGTGTGCACATGCGCAGAGTTGTCAGATGAAGGGAACGGCTAAAGAACAGGGCTCGACTTGGGACTAAGGCCACAGGTGAACGATGAATGGCTCCTCCCAGAGGAAATAAAAGAGGAGCGAAAGGGGAGTGGAGTTTGCAGGAGACCATTCGTTCGCTTCATTGGTTCCTGACTCTCTCAGACTCCTTGCCAAGTTCTGCAGATATCGGCCTGGCAGCTCTCCAAGCCAGAGAAGGTCTGTGACT